GACCTGATCCATGGCCTCGAAGTATGGGTGAGATTGTGTTCGAGTTGTATTGGAAGGAAGCGCCCAAGACTTGCAAGAACTTCGCCGAACTCTCCCGAAGAGGCTATTATAATGGCACCAAATTTCACCGCATTATCAAAGACTTTATGATTCAGGGTTTGTGTCTTGTTTTGCCATCCAATTGATCCCCAAATGTGTGACCCATTGTCTCTGTGTGTGTCTTAGGCGGTGACCCGACGGGCACCGGAAAGGGCGGAAAGTCTATATACGGCGAGAAGTTCAACGACGAGATCCACCCGTCGCTGAAGCACACGGGCGCCGGTGTCCTCAGTATGGCTAACGCCGGGCCCAACACTAACGGCAGTCAGTTCTTCATCACATTAGCGCCCACTCAGCACTTGGACGGCAAACACGCCATCTTTGGTCGCGTGTCCGCCGGTATGGCTGTCGTCGATAAGATGGGAAGAGTGAAGACCGACAAAAATGACAGACCACTCGATGACGTGAAGATAGTTAAGGCCACTGTTAAGGAGTAGTGATGTCTGATGTGATGTTTGATGTGATCCCTAATCTAATCTTCATTTANGCGTGTCCGCCGGTATGGCTGTCGTCGATAAGATGGGAAGAGTGAAGACCGACAAAAATGACAGACCACTCGATGACGTGAAGATAGTTAAGGCCACTGTTAAGGAGTAGTGATGTCTGATGTGATGTTTGATGTGATCCCTAATCTAATCTTCATTTAAGTGTTTTTATTTTTCTATTAATTGAATCCTATAAACAAATTGTCGTCTATTGTATTGAATTGTATTGTATTGTAATTTCATTGTTTACACAATATGTGTATTTTCCTAAATTAAATTGAATTTAACCATTAGAAGTCCATATCTTGGTTATGATAATTATTGATAATTGGTAATTATTAATTACTGATTACATAGTATTTTCATTGCGTTCATTCAACTTTTAATTCATTTTAACCGTATGTTTAATGTGTCAAAAAGGTTTGTATTTGAAATAATTGCAAGAATTAATACAGAATTGCTGTCTAATGCAAAACACACTCTGTTTTTACTAATTAATGACAATCTAATGGTTGAGACATTTAATAGCATTGAGACAATTATTTAGATTACTGTCACATCATTAACGATGATTCTGTGCTATTATTCTCTGCGGACATGTTTTACACATTAAAAATATATGTTTGGACTTAAATAGCATTTTGACGTTAACTTTGATTTGCAATTTTATCAATATGTAAATATAAAATACGACAGTATTTAAGTCTAGGCTTTCATTAAATACAGTTAGACATCAAAACCAGTGCCAGAATGAGCCTAAAAGCCAACGCATGAATTGCAGGGCTTATAAGGCGTGAAAGTGATGTTTAGTGACGAGCAGACCAACCAATTTGACTGTATATAACATATTATGTTTATTTGCATTCAGTTTATTTGTTTTTTGAGGTCATCTCACAATTGGCATCCAAATAGCTTCCCGTCCCTCCCTTGGCTCTCACGGCACGCAATATTGATGCCAACCGTAGCGATGGTTTACTCATTAATATACTGTATAGAAAATAAGATCATTAAGTCTTGTTATGACTGACTTTTCCATAAAAATGTTCTGTAAGTCTTGCGGCTAAACATGTGATTTGGCCGAAAGCGCTATTCATTTCATTACATTTCCATCAAATTGTTATGCATTTCAATAAAAAAAATTCGTTTTAAAACTCATGACGTTTTCTCATTAATTGTGTGAAAGTAAAAATAATACAATTTTTAGATAAATTTTTCAAAATTTTAGCACAAAATTTTTCTTCACACAAATTAATTATGTTTCATATTATTCAACAATGGGTTTAAAAAATACAAAATTTAGTGAAAGTATAGTGTGAATAAATTTATATATAAAATTTGTATAAAACATTTTCAACATTAGATATTTTAGATGATAATAAACAAAAATTAATTAATATTCTCACTTANAAAATTTTTCTTCACACAAATTAATTATGTTTCATATTATTCAACAATGGGTTTAAAAAATACAAAATTTAGTGAAAGTATAGTGTGAATAAATTTATATATAAAATTTGTATAAAACATTTTCAACATTAGATATTTTAGATGATAATAAACAAAAATTAATTAATATTCTCACTTATAATATAAGCCTCTTTTGAAAAGGCTTTTGTTTCAGAGACTAATTATAGAAAAGTTTTCTCCATTTAAACGCCAAAACTGTTTTATATTAAAATCTAACAAAAAATATAAGATTATCTCACCATTTAGTGTACAATATGTTTCATTTTAAATAATATATGGTATATAATAATGCAGTACACTATAACATTAAATGTGACGTTTAATAATAATAATAATGATGTTATTATTAATGTATTGGTTGAGCGATTCGGACAAAAATAATTATTAATTATTTATAAAAAAAGAGAAAATAAAATAATAGCAAAATTGTGCTGAGAATTGAACGCAACCATCACTTCTCTCTCAATGTATATGTATTTTAATGTCGAAAATACTTTCATAATATTGTTGTGATTAACGCAAAGCCTATTATCTAAATGTTATGTTTCCCATCCATTACTCCTCACCATCTATTGTACCGAAAAGTTTTATTGGACTTTCATTTTTCTGTGCATAAAATTCTTGATTCAATGTATGTTTTTGAACAAAAAATTAAGTATTTTATACAATAACAACAAAATAAGAAGATTTACTACTATTCTGAAAAATGTTAATAACTGGGGTTTCTATCGTACAGTATATTATTATTATTATACAAAATTGCATATTTTTAAAACATGAATCTCACTCCCGATGCCTATTGACTCACATTTTACGACTAAATATAGAAATTATAGTATTTTTTCATTTTTGTGATGAGAATCGAGGGGAAGGAATGTGTGGCACAAGAATTGTATTCATGAAAAACGGAATTCATTTATTTCTCGTATGAAAATAGTTAAGCCTTTAATAGTATTCAACGAATTGTACAGAAACTCATGACTTAAACACACTACGAATTCGTATTCATTGAATCGCTTTTAATATAAATTAAATGGGAGAGAGAGACTTTTACAGCATATATAGGACTCAGATTTTTCCTTCAATACACGACTCAATATAAAGATGTGTTTTAGTGAAGATATTTCGATAATTTTTCTATAATTCTGGTATTATTTGCTTTACATTTATTTGATTTGTTGAATGGGATTCTG